GCGACACGCGCGCGAAAGGGACGGAGCCCTAGTCCGCGAGGACTAAGGCATGGGCGCGGGCGGCTGGGACTAGGCGGTGTGCGAGGCGGCCGAGAAGAAAGAGAAAGAGATCCCTTGGAGTGGAAGCCAAGTTATTTAGTTTCCAACTAGCTTTATGATTTCTAGCTTAATTATGATTTCTAATATTTTATTGCTTTAATAATTCCCTAGGTAGATTAGGACTAGATATATTTTGAGCCTATATAAAGGCCCCTTCCCCTATGTTATTTTTCATCATTGAATAATTGAAGAATTAATAGGAACTCAAGAACTTTTGTTCATCTTCTTTGCTTTAGTAATTTTCACCAAAATTCTATAGCAATTATATCGTTTAGAGGGGTGCGGTTTGTGAACCTCTAGGCAACTATCGGCGATTCAAGGCACTGGTTTGTGGCTTATCGGCAGTCGAAACACACGATCTTCATCATTGGTGCTTTCATTGAGAGGTTGTTGATCGTGTGTTTCTCTTCTACCCCATTCTCTTTCTTTTTCTCTTCTTTTATTCGTCCCCCCTATTAAAAAAAAAAAAAAAATCTTTTTCTATTTTTTGAGAGAGCCGTGAGGTTCGATTATAAAAAAAAAAATATCATCATCATCAACACGAGTCCACGAAGCAAAGAACACAAGCAAGAGAAGAAAGCCATGGCCACCAAAGAGATGAAGGACAAAATCGACAATCTTGGCGTTCAGATGCGAAGTATGAGCGAGGTTATGGAAGGAAGGTTTGGATCGCTCGAGAACAACACCAACGCCGCAGTCACACGACTTGTGCAACGTCTGGACGAGATCTTGCGCGGGCTTCAACTGCAACGGCAAGAGCGCGAGGAACACACGTCGTCGCCTAGATGCGAGGCACGACGCGCGCATGAACGGGCTGACGGAGGGAGGCGACGTGACGATCGACCACCACCTTACGGGTATGATTGGACAAGGAGAGAGCGCGAGCAAGCTAAGATCAAGCAAGGGGAGTCGCGAGTAAGCGACAAGGCCCAAGGCGAGTCCAAGAATGCGACGAAGGTCGAATTGGTCGAGCACGATAAGTGCAAAACAAAAATTGCGATCGAACATGACACGCCTGAGGTCGAGGTAACTGAGGTTGAAGAGAATGTGTTGGTCACGGTCGAAGCGGGCCATGAAGAGGTTACGTTCGAAGCTCCAAGGCTCGAAGAGGGTATGCTCGAGGGAGAGGGTAAAGTGGCGCACAGCGAGGTCGAGGCCGAAGGAGCCGAAGTGTTCGATGTCGAGAGCGTGGTGTTGGTCGAGATCGACAAGGATCGTGATGCGTGCGCGGATAAAGAAGGAGTGCCCGAAG